GAAAAAACTGTTGTGACAACAGTTTCTTGGGCAACTTGGAAGGGCTGTGGTGGGATCCAGAAATGGCAACCTGGAGTCCCACAGACCACTTAACTGCTCTCTTCTCCATCAGCTTGGGAGCTTTTTCCTGAGAAGCTTGCAGGGTATAATAGCATCCTTTGTCGTTTGAGCATCTTTATCAAGATGTTAACAGATCTGCCTACCTTGATCAGTTGTGCTTCAAGGGAAGCGCACCAGTCCTCTGATTCTTTAATATTTCCCAGCCCAGATAGATGTTAACCAAAGGATCTCACAATAGTCATCTCCTTGCAGGAGCAAGGAAGCATAGGAGAATCAGATGACCACAACAGGGGTCGGCAACCTGCAGCCCATGGGCCACAAGCAGCCCATGGGGGTCATTTAACTGCCCAAGAGCTGCCCCCAAACCGAGCCACCCACTCGGTGAGTTCCCACGCGCTGCACTAAACTGGCGCAGCATGGAGCAGGGACTCGCTTCTGCGCCATCAGAAATCATGTCTGCACAGACGCGATCCAGCCCATGGAGCGATCTCTGCGGGAGTGAACCGGCCCAGGCGAGGTAAACCTTGCCAATCCTGGCACCACAAGAGCATCTTGGATGGGATGGTTTTCAAAGAGGGCTAGACAATTGCATGGAAGAGAGGCCTATCAAAGGCAACTAGCTGTGATGGCTATGCTCAGCCTCCTGTTGGAGGGAGCAATGCTTCTGAAAAGCACTTCCTTCCCTCTGCCCCAGTACCTGAGGGTCGTCATGTCTCTTCAGGGATTTGGCTAGAACAAAGTATATGTTGGGGAAAGGAAAATGGGAGGAATCAGCAGGTGCCTGGCTTCCAGCCATGCTAGTACCAGTCTGGCGCATGAGGGTGGGGAACACAGGAAGGAAGCATTCCTATAGTATAGGGCACTCAATTGGCATTTCCACCTACCTGATCTCTGAGGCTTTCCCCCCTTGTTCTGGCCTGGCTCTCTCCTAAGGAAGATACAAGCTCTTGCTGGAAGCCACTGGGGGAGAGAGAGTGTTCCTATGATTCCCAAATGTTTCAAAAGCATCTTTTTGCTCCTTTAGCTGCTTGATATAATCATAGCATGGCAGGGCTGGAAGATATCCCAAGGGTCATCTAGTCCAACCCCCGGCAATGCAAACTCCAGCCTTCTGGTTACCATTGCAATTCTGCATGGTGTGGAGAAAGGGGAGAGAGAAATGTGTTGCTTACACTCTCATAACACTGATATGAGATCCACACCATGCAGCCCTTTCAATAACTAAAGTCTAAAGGGCTGTCACATGGAAGATGGAGAAAGCTTGTTTTCTCCTGCTCCAGAGGCCCTTAGGGCCTGAAGCAGTGACTCTCCTTCCTTTGGGTTTTTTAAGCAGCGATTGGATGGCCATTGGCCATGGATCATCTAGTTGAGATTCCTTCATTGCAGGGGGTTGGACTAGATGACCTTCGGGGGTACCTTCCAACTCTACAGTTCTATGATGCTATGTTTTAAAGAGCATCTAATGCACATTTAAAGCACAACTTCCCCCGAAATGATTTGTGTCATTGTAGCTTCCCTCTCACAGACCTACAATCCCCAGAACCCCTAACAAATTACAATTCCCAGGATCATTTGAGGGAAGACATCTGGTTTTTAGAACAGGGACAGAGAACCCGCAGTTTGCTTACTCCCATTTCCTAGGAACCAGGAATGGGAAGTTCAAGTGCTTCTAACAGTATGGTTATAGGGAGCAGTGTGTATAAAATATTGAATGTAATAGGGTTATTAAGGTATTTGTATCAGAATTGTTATGGGAATGTTAAGGAGGGAGGGGGAAAGAGAGATTGTGGAATTCTGGTGGTGAGTGATGATTGGATGAGGATTTGAAAGGGAGTTTGAATGAGAGTCAGTTGAGAGCAGGGGGTTCTGGAGGAGGTGGTTGCACTGGCAGAGGAAGAGGAGTGGGGGGGGGGAGCGCACCGCCTCTGGCAGCGTGATCCCTGTGGGGTGCCATCGCGGCTGCCCTCGCTGGGTGCCATGCCCCCGCAGGTGGCGTGCCACACCCCCAGAACATGCGTCATGCCCCTAGGGGCGGCGCACCACACCCCTGCAATGCACACCAGCCCCACCCCGGCCTGCTCTCCACCCCCCGGTGCTGGAGCATGAAGCTCCTCCACTGGGTGGTTGGGCAACTAACTATTCAGTTTAGGATCAGCAGTCTAGTCGTCATTTTTGTAATAAAGCAGCATTTAAGATAAAGAGAATTTGAGGCCATAAGCTCAAGTACACACGTCATCCTACAATCATTTAGTGAATCATCCATACGGTCGCCTTTAGTGAGGGTGCGGTACCTAGGATGTGGACCAAACATTGATCTTTTTTGTTTTTTTCTAATTTCATAGGTTTAAGTTCTGGTTCTAATGATATAACAAGGGTGGGGGATCTTTAAATACCGGGGGCTGCCACACACTCCTTTTCTTCTTTAAAAGAATAATAATTTCCCCTCGTTTTCAAAAACACATGCATTGTCTCTTTCTTTAGGTTCTTCAGTTACATTTGTTGTGAGACACTGGTGCTATATGCAGTATAGGGTTGAGAAGAAAAGAGGGAGCCCAGCTCCCCACCCTCCCAGGCTATTAACTCTGTGAGGTCCCTAAAGTGCTGAGCCATTGTTAAGTAGAGGAGGAGCAATGCCTCAAGCATTGCCTCTCCCCAGATGAACCAATCCAGACCCTGCAATCATTACTGAGGCCCTTCTTAATGTGCCTCCTCCACAAGGGGTCTGGAGGATGGCAACATGATAATGGGCCTTTCTGTGGTGGCTTCCTGTTTGTGGAATGGTCTCCCCAGGGAGTTTTGGCTGGTGCCTTCATTACATATCTTTAGGTGCCAGGCGAAAATGTTTCTCTATAACCAGGCCTTTGGCTGATTAACATTCTATGGCCTTTTAAACAAACTTGTGGGAGGTGTTTTTGGTTTGTTTTTGTTTTATTATGTCTTTTGTGTTCTCAGTTTGAATTTTTATGTTGTGAACTGCCCTGTGCTCTTTGAGTGATGGGTGGTATACAAATTTAATAAATAAATAAAACAAAACAAAACTCTGACTTAGTGCAGTTGTGTGTAAGTTTTTGCCCTCCAGATGTTGCTGAGCTACAAACCCATTCAGGCCATACTTGCTGGGGCTGCTGGGAGTTGTAGTTCAGCAACTTCTGGAGGGCCAAGCTTCCCCACACACAGCTTAGCAGGACTGCATGGATCCAATTCTTGGAATAGCAAGGCTGGCTTCATGGTGAGGTAATGGCCCTCTAAGTATAGGCAGTTGAGGTAACCAAGGAAGTAGCTCTGTGTCAGATGACAAATGGGTGGTCCCCCCTCCCACAATTTGCTGGTCGTTAGAAATACAAAGGCCAGAGTTGTGAGTTGAGTTATGTGGGCTAGAAGATGGAATCTGCAGGCTAGGCAGCTGGGAGTGACAGAGCCATGCCTGATTTCTGTTGGAATCCAAGACTGTGGCTGTGGGAGATGAAAGACTCTCTTGGGGTGTTGATGCTGTGAGCTCCTCCGTTATACGTTGAGGTTGTATATATATGTAAATAAATTGTGTATCCTAAAGACACCATAGTCTCCACTGTCCCTTATTCTGAAGGAATGGTGCCTGGAACTCCTGGAATCTTGCACTGCTCAGAGACTGGGGTGGCATGCAACAATATTTATAAAAATGCAATTCTTAGGTGTCCACAGTATTTTTGGAAGATCAAAAAAAAAAAGGAAAAAAAGGGAGGAGACCAGAACAGTTTGGCCATGCTCCCATTGGCTTCATGCCCACTGACCATGCCATTGCAACCTCCTACCTACCCCACCAGGTCTAGTGGCTGCCATAGGCTGCTGTGTCCACAACGATTAACTAAAGGTGTGTTACAAGCACATCGTTTTTTCTTTGTATGTTTGTAAAGTACAAGTCTGAAGAAATAAAGGCAAATCACTTGCATCTCTTTCCCTATTAATATGATCAAATTAGTTGATAGCAGTAGCTAACATTAAGTGACAAAAGGATTCAGATTCCACTTCCATAGAAAAGGCCAGACCTTCCGTATAGCAACGCCCCTTTATGAGGCCTAACATTCAGTCACAGTATAAGAAAGTATCCAAAAGGGGAGCTGCAGAAATTCCAACTAGAATTCCTCGCACCCCCAATAGTAATAATGATTTCTTGCAGCTCAAGAGACATAGAACTAATTCACACTTGCAGTTTACCAGTCCAGCAATCCACCTTCAGATGAAGTGTGAACTCAGCTGCTTGGGAGTAATTGTATTCTAATCCTTAGCAATTTGCACTTCATTAATGAAGTGAGAGTTAACCCTTGCTACCACCTTGCTGAATTGTATGCAGATCCTGCTCCACTTCTGGTTCCTCCTGGAATTTAGAGGTGGGGTTAAAAGGAACATTTTATTTTATGGTGTTCTATGTTTTCAAGAAAGAAGCACGGTATGTCTAGGAATGTTACAGAGACATTCGGGTGACCATCAAATACTGCAGCATCCCACAGCAATGGGTGAGAAAAGACAAGTACAGGCAGGATACAATGGAAAGGTTTAATGCCCTGGGATGAGAAAAATACTTCCTGACAATATATTAAATATGCTTTTATCTCTGAAAGGAATTGCAGACAGGTAATCCTCAGTTAGTATGCCTTCAACCAATCAACAAAAGTGTTAGGATCTCACTGTTCTGTTCCCACATTAAAATCTTGAAGGCTAATGGTGTGGGAATTAGATAAGGTAAAAACACGGAGTGGGGAACTTTCTTGTAAGTAAATAAGTAAACTTCCACTTGCACTCTGAAAACTGACTTCAGTAGCAGATATGGTGCTGTAATTGGATCATCATTTATATTGTATTGTTTCAGTATATATGTCCTATAGAAAGCAAAACAAGCATCTACAGTAAAAATGTAAAAATACAAACTTTTAAGTTTCACTTCTTGTTCAGAGTGTGCATACCTGCAGAGACACGTGGACAGTCAGGTAACATGGACTCTACTGATGTATCTAGAGGATCTGAACTTGACACCCAATTACAGCAGTTCTGAAATTGAAGGGAGACAAATTTGAATAAGAGCATTTATTCAGAACTTTATGTATCCATAACTGCCAGATTTTAAGAATAGGGAGTGCAATGCCAGAGTAAGGTGACAACTGCAGTTTGTGAGCTGAAGCTCAACAAGAAGTAGCTATCATCCTGGGGTAGAAACAAGCACAACAATAGGGAGGGTGGGAGGGAGATGCAAAAAAAGGCAATGCAGTGAGCCAGGTATGAGACACGCTCATTTTTGATCCCTGTGGGAGTGGACATGAGTGGAGTTCTCTGTGGACCCAGTCAGACCCACCTCCCAAAGTGAGACTGCCTGCCATTGGTCCAATCTGGCAGGTAGGCTAACTCAATCTATCCAACCAACCAGAGGGAGAGACCAGGGACTCTTCCCTCTGGCAGGAAACCTCCCGATGCTGCAGCTGCTATGGCAGAGGACAGGCTCTGCCCCGCAAAGCTGCCAACAGCTTAATTAATTGACTATTAATTAATGATCATTTATCTCTTGTTTGCATATATAATAGTCAGAGAGTGGCTGTAAAGCTGCATGTAAGGAAATGTATTAAACTTTGTTCACATATTAGTATAGTACTGATAGGTTAAATGTAAAAGTTTCTCTTTATGGAAATACAGTACATTTATGTTTACATTTTGTTTTCTAATCCACATCTTTGGCTAAACAGTATCCATTATATTCTGCTTTATTATTATTATTATTATTATTATTATTATTAAATTTTTATCCCACCCTATACCAGTAGATCTCAGGGCGGTTCACAGGAACACAGAATTCATAATCAGAATCAAAATAAGAGTAACCCAGTTGCTTTACTTTACAACTTAATTGCAAAATTTGCATATTAAACGTATTTATAAAATGGGCAAATTGTTATTTCATTAAATATTTTATTCACAATTTTTTTTCTGTAGAATAACTATCTACAAAAGCTTTTGTTAAAATGTTAAGAATTTTCATTTCACTTTTAAAAAATCAAATAGCTATATTAAAACATGGAAATACTTTTGTAACATACACCCAAACAAATGTGTAAATATTTTTATTGAAGAATTTTATTTAAAAATCCCATTAATCATTGTTTCAAAATGGCCGATTGTTCTTCCTTGCAAACAAGCATGTATTGTATATTTTTAGATGCTTGCTGCCCTAGTTGTGCACCATGGAATCCGTCCTCACTGTGGAAAGATCCTTGACTGGTAGATCAAGTGTCTTATTGTAGTTCCTTAATTCATTCTGTCTGGAAGAAGATGTCAGCTGTGTTGCAGTGAGGAGAGAATTTCAAAGACTCCAATCCCCACCAATAAAGGCAGAGGAATGGCTTTTGAATAGATTTGTCAAGGCAACCCTACTGTTCTGGGACCAGGGAGAGCAGGAAGAACATAAAGGAAGGGTTGCTGTATGAGATTAGAAAGTGAAGTTCACAAAGCATGGCAGATTTTTGTAAGAAACAGTAGATCAGTGAAACCATTGAACTGTGTGAAAAACCCATGAAAACAGTTAAAAATATAACTGGCTAGTGTGTTTGTTATCTTTTCACTAAAATGTTAAGATGGCAATATTTCTATATTTCACAAAGGCTTTAAGATGCACATTTTATAATTTGCATGCCAGTTTTTAATTAACAGCTGATTGTGGAACTGTAGCACAGTAGTAAATTACAAAAGTAGTGGAATTTTTATGAAGTATTATATTCATTTGATATAGGTAAAATTAATATTATTACTGATAGAACATTACATCAGAGAATTTGAGATAATACAGAAGATTTGAAGACAATTAACTAGTTTTATATACAATGTGCCACTTGCCTGTAAGAACTAAGTATTCTCAAATGCAAAGTAAAGATATGAAAGTGGAAGATTTGTTTTATCAGTCATCACAGTGCCTAATAAATTCAAAAATTATGACTTCTATTGGCACTAAAAATAGGCAGCTCATGATATAGGGTAGATAGATGAAATGAAGAATTGCTATTTTAACTATTAATTATTTCAATGACAGCAATTAGCACTACATACACAAAGCAATTGAGAAAAGATTTTAATTATTATTCATTCTACCACTAGATCTAAGCCCAGTGAAGTAAAAATATACCCAGGTGACAAGATATAGTTTTAGTAACAATCACCTGAATTTCACACAGTGTAAAAATACTACTTATATGAGATTTTTTAACATCCCATCCATATTTTAATTCACTAGCCATTATTCTTATTCTTTAAGATCCACTTTCTGAGAATGAAATAAAAGATAATGAACATGTCATGCTTAAATGTATTCAGAGAACAATTAGTTATCAGATTCAAAATGGGAGACTTAAATTTAATATATATATATTTCCTTATGGCGTGTATTTAATGTTCTGAGTTCTCATAAAGCAACTTTGGATTTTCTAACAAAGGCTTTAGAGGTTTGGGTTTTTTTCTTTCTTTTTGTGTGTAAGTATTTCAGGTCTGAGTTGTCAGCCTTTATCCTAGACAATTCTCTGTCCTTGCCATGGTCTGTAAAACTAAATGGTTAAATCAGAAACATTAAGGATACAAATAATATTTTACGAAATAAACTCTAACATTGAATCCTGATTAATAGCACTGGGCCAACTAGCTGACATTGGCTGAAATCCTAAATGGCTTCTCCATTTACATAAGGCGTTGGCATTTTTCATCAATTCCCACTCAATAAGCAGTCCTGCTGCACCATATCTTACACTAGTTTTAAGGTTTCCCACCTCAGTGTGACTTGCCCCTATTTTGTGGAACAGCATCACTGCTGATACGGCAGAGCCCACTGTCTGTACTTTCCAGAAACAATTAGATACATTTTTGCTTCAGCAAGCTTTTCTAGATAGATGAAAATGACCAATAGCTTCACATAGGGGTTAAACAGCATTGTGGAGAAAATAGTGCCTTGCAGCGCCCCATAAAGATAACTGCCATGGGGTCAAGAAGTTCTCTCCCAATGCTATTTTCTGGACTTGGCCTCAACAGTAGGACTGGAAGCGCTATAACACAGTGCCCCAATCCAGGATGATACCAACATCAATGGTATGAAAAGCCACAGAGAGATTAAGAAGGAGCAAGGTTCCTTGTCCTGTTCTTAGCAGAGGTCACCCACCAGGGAGACCAAGGCCAATTTAGCCTCATGGCCAGGGCTAAACCAATTGTAACTGATCTATGTAAACCGTATGATCCAAGAATTCTGGCAGTTGACCTTCCACAACCCTCTCTACCACCTTATCTTGAAAGTGGGCATTTGTAACTGGTTGGTAGTTAGTCTAACCAAACAGATCTAGGGCCAGCTTCTTTAGGAGTGTCCATACCACTGTGACAGGCATTGGTCCCTCATGAAGTGAGCATAAGAAGAGCCTGCTGGAGCAAGCTAATGGCCCATTTAGTCCAGCATCCAGTTCTCATAGTGGTCAATCAGATGCCTGTGGGATACACACAAGTAGGACCTAAGCACAGCACTCTTCCCTTCAGCTGTTTCGACAATGGTATTCAGAAGCACACTGCCTTTGACAGTGAAGGTAGAACATATTCATCGTGGTTCTGTTTGCCTTTTTCATAACAGTCATACACTGGGTTGGCACTGCTCTGGATGCAACTGGTCAAATTTAATAAGCCAAGAAGGATGGGGTAAAGCATAAAGAGGACATGGATTTTGGGGTGTGTGTGTCAAGTGACTTTATCCTCAAAATGTAATCAGTTGGTTGAAGGGCTCTGGTGGGAGTCAACAACCCTGCACTATCTGAAAGAGCTCTGCCAACCAGCTACTTAAAGATACAGCAGAGGCTGCAAAATGCACCTTCTTCATCATCTGTACTGCCACATAGTAGGCACATTGATGTGCGTTAACCAGTGTTTGGTCAACCTAAAAGTGAAACTTGCGACCCTTGTACTCCAGTCTTATGAATATGTTAAGTAAAAGCACACACAGTCCTGATCCAACAAGAAATGTATCTACATTTCTACATACAGTGGTACCTCAGGTTACATACGCTTCAGGTTACAGACTCCGCTAACCCAGAAATAGTACCTCGGGTTAAGAACTTTGCTTCAGGATGAGAACAGAAATCGCGTGGCGACTGTGCGACAGGCCCCATTAGCTAAAGTGGTGCTTAAGGTTAAGAACAGTTTCAGGTTAAGAACAGACCTCCGGAACAAATTAAGTACATAACCAGAGGTACCACTGTATTTATTTTACAAGGTTGGCATCTCACTGTTCAAGGATTCACAAAGGAAAGAGCCACAAAAAATACTCTTCAGTTACAAAGAACTTAAGTGGCAGAATCAGAGAAAAGGGAACTAATGAGCTTTGAAGTCATCCTGAAGTCATTTCCTCCCTTTTTATGACTTGGATCCTGACTTGCCCTTCCACAAGTGGTATTTCATCCAGTGGGGACTTCTCGTGGAGAAAAAAGGGGGAGAAGATTTTCCCACTTTGCTCTGTATCTGATGCCCCCTTATTCTTCTGTAGTATTCCTCAATCCTCCAGAGCAGGCTTCCTCAAACTCGGCTCTCCAGATGTTTTTGGCCTACAACTCCCATGATCCCTAGCTAGCAGGACCAGTGGTCAGGGATGATGAGAATTGTAGTCTCAAAACATCTGTAGGGCCGAGTTTGAGGAAGCCTGCTCCAGTACGTATTTATTTTGGAGAAGGGGCACATGGTTTAGCAGGGCCTAGGGGATCCATCAAAAATCACCTTCCCCTTCTTCTGCAAGCAGGAAACAATAGAGTTCTGCTCATAGGATTTGAGGATCCAAATATAGTTACATGCCTATTACATAAATGAAAGGAAATCAGACTATGTTCAGACCACAGGGTAAATTTCAATGAGCCTAATAAAACTGGAAAAGATTAGGTTTGCCAGCACACACAACAGAATCGAGCCTCACCTCTCGCATCCACTCTCGAATAGTTTTGCCAGCTTCTTGGTGCCACACGTTGTGAACTGAGTCCGTCAATGCCACAGCAGTAACTTTATTCTTTACTTCTGCCTCTCGTTGAATCATCTGTAGAAAACACAAATCCAAAAAGTCTTAAAGTGCAAATGTGTCTAATTTTAAGCTCGCCAAACTACTCAAGTCTTTTTGCTTTTCACAGGAATCAGTTCTAGAATTTAAAGAAGGGAAATGCAACAGCTTTGAGGGTTTCTACAATCAAGCAGTATATAAATGAAATAAAATAAATTTATGACATAAAAATGATAAACCACAGTAAAGGAAAGCCAAGATTCACAAAGGGACTTCAAACTATTGTTTATGATCTTGTTTTGCTGGTACCCAGGGTTAAGTTCACTCACAGAAACAAGCTACAGTTACATTTCTTTAAACAAGCCATAGTTTAACATTATGTGCTAACTGGTCCTATTCTTAAACCGTGATTTATGAATAATCACAAAAAGAATTTTTCAAATAATAATAGCGTACAACAGAGAACACAGTATTAGAAAACAAAATAAAAAATAAGAGAAGAAACATTTGTTGAAATAATGTACGATAAAAAAGAGTATATATAACCTATGTATTGGGTAAAATGGTACTAAACATTTTCGTTTTGCTCTTTTTCATTGGGTACAACTTAATGTTCATTGAATTTGCTGTTATGGCTAACTCAGCATTTTAAAATTACTATATTTTATTGAGTTCGACTATACTTTAAACCCTTAGCTAAAGAAGACACAAATACCATCACTATAATGTAATGTGAACATAGGTATTTTCATGTCATATCAGAGCAGTGGCCCATTTATCTAAACCAGAATCTTTGTGATTATATACAAAGGGTGAGTTTACACAATCAATGTACCTGGCTATATATTTGTGATGATTAGCTGAGTTTAGAAGCAAACATCTGTTGGATTTATTTTAAAACACACATCTTCTCTGGATGGGAACACATGGGTCATGTACTAACAATGTGTAATGCTTTTCCTGGATTACTAGTTACTGGTACAGTCAGCACTAAGTGATTCTAGTCGCCCTTGCTTAAAAGATGACCAAATTCATGGTTCTTTTCGTCATTAATTTGAGGACTCTCTTGTTGGATCAGATGAAAGGTTCATCTAGTTCAAGGTTTTTCCCCCAACACTGGGCAGCCTGATGACATTGGGAAGCTCCTTTTGCATATAACACTTCAGCTCAATTTGAAAGGATTTAGTATTTACAAGCCTTCCTCAGAGAACTCTTTAAGAACTGTTTTCTGAGAATATTTTCCTGGCTCATAAGTTGGCAGTCTCTTGTGCATCTACTCTTTTAAATTGTTGAAAAGCACCAATTTTTCAGTAAGTTTTCCATTGCCCTTCAAATCTTAACCACAGATCAGATATGCAGCTGTGCAAAAACAGAAAAAAATAACACCAGTAGTTGATTTTTAAGGCTCCAGAAAACTATGTAGTTATTTGAGCATAGCTCTCAGGAGTGTTTGAATAGATAAACCCCTGAGCCTTGGAAACAAAGGACATGTGAAATCCCCAAATTTGTAAACCAAGTCCTAGCGAGCTCCCCTAAAGCTGAGTTTTACAGCTTTGCCAGATTTCCTTTACACATTCTCGTGTAAGCCTTTCTCCTAGAAAATATGACTGGTTAGACCTCTACTGTAGCCCTTATACCATCTCTAACAAGCTGCAGGACTCAAGGAGAGCCAAGTTAGAGTGGTACCTGCCACTGTGTATGCATGGCATAAAATAAATATTGTCTACCTCTCATACGTAAAGTGTTGTAAGTCTGAAATTTGGACAGTTTGTACCGTTCCCCATCACAAGAAATCTTCTAGACCAAACCGGAGTGATAGGACATCTAATATCTATTGATGACAGTGTTTTTCAAACTTGGGTCTCCAGCTGATGTTAGACTACAACTCCCATCATTCCCGACCACTGGTCCTGCTAGCTAGGGATGATGGGGATTGTAGTCCAACAACAGCTGGAGACCCAAGTTTGAGAAACACTGTTTTATGATGATTCTGAATAAAGGTTTTAACAAAGTATTCAACATGCCTTAATTATAGAGCTGAATCTCCCTACTGATAAATACATCAACCCAACCAAAGTGTGTGTGTGTGTGTGTGTGTGTGTGTGTGTGAGAGAGAGAGAGAGAGAGAGAGAGAGAGAGAGAGATTTCTGTTAAAAAATGTTTGTGATGGCTGAAGGCTTAAAAGGAACTCAATGAGAACACACTTTTCACTAGGACAGCAGTTAGGAAGAAGTACACTCTTAAAAAAAACAACCTTCCCTGTATTTGACTGACATCCTGGAAAATAAGAGAGAGGAGTCTTCAATATAGAAATAACCAAGGAAAGAATGCCAGAAGATTGTGTCTTAAAATATTTGCTTGTAATGTAGAAAATACCCAAATGAGATCTATTTACAAAAGATATAGCTGAAACTAAACTAAGGTGATATAAATCACTTTAGATGCAGGATACCTGTGACGCAACCTAATTCCATATCTTTAACTAAAATATCATTTGCAAAGACATTGTTTCTTTATGATTCATAGATGAGAGCCTCAATGCAACTAAAGTTAGTTGTAACTAATTCCAGTTGAAATCAATGCAACTGTAGTCAGAACTAACTTTAACTAGGTTGGGGCCCTTTAAGATTGGCAATAATAAGATTTAATACTCAAACTCAGCTAAAGTTCATTGTAACTAAGTTCCAATGATCTGCCAAACACTGGAAATATGGAATAAGACCACAAGGTGTCAGCAATTCCCATGTTCACCAGTACTACCATTGGACACAAGCATACAATACTTGAAGGCCTTTAAGAAGGATAGAGAAGTTCTGATGACTTGGTTGATGTAATGAGTGACCAATGAGTATATACATGCCTTGGGCTTCTGCAAAACACTGTGTAATGTCCAAAGTGGAATTGCTTAGCAGAGACACAACACTTCAAGACAGCTGTAGGGCTTCAGCATTCTCATTATTTTACAAATTTCAAATCAAAGCTATTTGTCAAAAGCAGTCCTTACTTATCCAGAATGAGATAACATGTAAAATCACGAAGCAGCAGCATTTCATTCCTCATTTTTATTTTTAAATCCCAGAAGTAAATAGCTTTAAAAAATGAGTAGCATGAATCTAGTCCTACTTCTGCCTAGATCAGCTTTATGCAATGGACAGCCAAATATCTCTTGGAATATCACAGAAGACTGAAACAATAGCTTTTCCTATTACCTGGCCCTTGTCCTCTGAGGCATGTTGCCTATGAACATAGAAATTGTATTTAGCTTGCATGGATAATAATGATTGCTAGATTTACACTACACAAACTTTTCTATTTTTTTAGGACACTGAGTCACTGCTTGTTTGAGTAGACAGCTTGAGCAACCCGTACCTCTTACTCTCCTCTCTGCAACCCATTTACTTCCTCCCAAACCTCTCTAAAGGTAAAGGTAATGGGACCCCTGACCATTAGGTCCAGTCGTGGGGTTGCGGCGCTCATCTCGCTTTGTTGGCCGAGGGAGCCGGCGTACAGCTTCCGGGTCATGTGGCCAGAATGACTAAGCCGCTTCTGGCGAACCAGAGCAGCGCACGGAAATGCCATTTACCTTCCCACCGGAGTGGTACCTATTTATCTACTTGTACTTGACGTGCTTTTGAACTGCTAGGTTGGCAGGAGCAGGGACCGAGCAACAGGAGCTCACCCCGTCATGGGGATTCAAACTACCGACCTTCTGATCGGCAATTCCTAGGCTCTGTGATTTAACCCACAGTGCCACCCGTGTCCCTTCTCCCCAAACCTCCCTAGAACCACCCCAAATGGTATGGATGAAGCTTGTTTGAGCAAAGCACAGGCAGTGCAAAATGCCTTGGCCTGACTTGGGTTATTCCTTCAGCCAAATGCAGCCTGTATCTCCCCTAGCCCTGCAGCCCTCAGGAGAGGATTTTGGGGGAGAAAGGGGAGAGGAGGGGAAGCAAAAGAATGGTTGCACAAGTCACCTTCAATTTGTATAGCCATTGTATACAACTCATTTAAACTAATTGTGTATAACTAGTTTATTTTGTCTTGTAAAAAAAGTTCTTATAACTTAACTGGATCAATGTGAATGTTAATAATACTAGCAGGCGTTGGGGAGGTTCTATCTAGTCTTCCCATACTCTATACTATTCCTGATTTTGAAAATCTTGATCATGTTTGTGTAACTGTCTTTTGCACTAAATTAAAAACTAAACTTAAATAAAAAACAAATTACCCTTGTAATAATGTGCACCAATGCATTTATCATTGTAGTTGCCTTTTCCTATATCCTTTTCAGCTCTAGAACTTTTTCAGGTGGCTGGGGAAAACCAACAATATATGCAGTATTATAAATGTAGCTGGATAAAAAAACTATATAATGGCATTATTTTCAGCACTTTTCATAATAATCTCCTATCCCTAAACCTCCATATTCCACCCCCAGTTTATTAGATTGCTGCGTGTGTGTTTGGTGGTGGTGGGAGAGATAACCAAAACATCTGGGATAATTAAGTCTACACTATATTAATTTGAAAAGTATATAGTTTTCCTCTGACCTGATTGACTGCTGCTGGCCTACCTGGGCAACCTATGGAGATTCTAGTGACTAGAAAATCTGACAGAATAAAGAGCACTAAAGAGAAGGGGGAAATAGCAGTTCTTTAGGACCAAGATGTTTTCTAATTCCTCATGTTGAAACAAATCACTCTTCAGTTGCAAGTCTGATTTCATTTGCTGGCTAAAATATTTTGCTTCCTAGCTTCTTTCTAGAAAGCAGATTGAATTTTGGCCTTGCACGGGGTGCTGCTGAAATCTGAAAGACCAAAGTCTGCCCCTGACTTAAGATCTATCTAGTCTACAGTGAAAGGGACGTGGGTGGCGACGGGGTGAGCTCCCGTTGTTCGGTCCCTGCTCCTGCCCACCTAGCAGTTTGAAAGCACGTCAAAGTAGATAAATAGGTACCACTTTGGTGGGAAGGTAAACAGCGTTTCCATGCGCTACTCTGGTTCGCCAGAAGCAGCTTAGTCATGCTGGCCACATGACCC